TCTGGCGGCCGCGCCGCGTCGGGCTCGCTTCTCCCTATCGTGAGTCGTCTTGCGATTCCCTGCCCGTCGTTTTGCTGCGTCTTGTGTGGGGCCTCATGCTGCTGATGGGAATGGCTCTGTGTGTGGCGCTGCGCTGGCGTGCGGCGCGCGCGTGCTGTGCGCGTGTGCGTGTTGGATCCGCGCGTGCGTCTGCGTGTGCTGCGCGCGCGCCGCCGGCGTGTGTTGTGTGCTGTACTCTGCTGTGCGCCTGTTTGTGAGTCTTTAAGGCGCAGGCCTGGCTGGCAGGGCTGCGCGGTGGGCTGCGGCGCGCTGCGGGTGGTTGTGCGCCTGCCTGGTGGTGTGCGGCGGCCGCGCAACCCGCCCGACCGGGTCGTCGGCGGCCCAGGGCGCGAGCATGCGGTCGGCGCTGCATGTGAGGCTGCTGCGCGGCTGGCGCGTATGTTTCCGTGCGATGAGGGACGCGCGTATGTGTTCACGCTGCGGGCGCGGGCGGGCGCGGGGGGCGGCGTGGTCTCACCGCGGTCCGACGCCGGTTGGTCTTCGGCGTGACGAGGGCGGGCGCGCAGAGAGGCCTTGCCGCCATCGCGTTACCGCGAAGGAAAAAGAATCCGCTCGCTTGTTTTCCCGCGGGCCTAGAAGGCCCGCGCGAAGGGGGGACATTGAGACCGGTCATGTCTCATGAATGAGTGCGCGACACGCATGTTGCGAGCAGCGTTGTTGATGTTTTGCGCATCGCCACAGACGACGGCGGCGCGAGAGAGCTGTTGCGAGTGGTGCTGGGCGAAGCCCCGGGCGCTGCCGGAGGCTGTGCCGTAGTCGGTGCGCTCGGGCTGCCGACCTCTTTGGCGAAGTTGAAGATGATTCTCTTCACACAGCTCTCACAGCAGACTGTGACCTCGGCGTCTAGCGTTTTTGCGCTCGCCTTCCCTCGGCGGCGGCGGCCTGGGCGGCGGCGGCGGCCTTGGTGGCGGCCTCGGCGGCGGCTACAAGCCCTCAGGCGGCCTCAGCGGAGGAGGAGGAGGGTATGGCGGCGGCGGTGGCTATGGCGGCGGCGGAGGAGGAGGGGGTGGATATGGAGGAGGGCTTGGCGGCGGAGGCGGAGGAGGAGGCTATGGTGGTGGCCTCGGCGGCGGCTACAAGCCCTCGGGCGGCGGCGGCTACGGCGGCGGCGGCGGCTACGGCGGCGGTGGCGGCGGCGGCTACGGCGGTGGTGGCGGCGGCTATGGTGGCGGAGGTGGCGGCTACGGTGGCGGAGGCGGCGGCTACGGCGGCGGCCTTGGGGGCGGCCTCGGCGGCGGCCTCGGCGGCGGCCTCGGCGGCGGCCTTGGCGGCGGCGGCGGCGGCGGCGGCTCCAACCCCTTGGGCTATCAGCGCGGCAAGTTTTAGAGCAACCTCCTCCACAGTGTGCAGGAAGGAGGGAGGAGCGAGGAGACCGCAGCGCGTGGAACACACGCGTGCAGTATGGTGGATCAGGGGCTCGGAGGCGCAGAGACGGCGTGCTCCGACTTGAGGAGGTGTGTGACGAAGGCGGGAGGAGACGAGAGTGCAGCGGCCCGCCAGACTGGAGACGAGTTGGAAGAGAATTGCGAGAGAAGTGGCACACAGGCGGGTGTGCGGAGCTGCGACGGAACAAAAGTGTCCAGAGCGCGCGCGCGCGGAAGTTGGTGCTGGGAATCACACGCAGCGCGTGCGCTTTGATGACCTTAATATATATCACGTATGTATGCAAAATGAGATTGGATCATTTTCTCTACATGCTCACACACAGCACGACCATCCTTGCTGGATACGATGAGTTGCACATTCAACATACATCCCGCTCGGCGCTACCGCAGCATGCGCAAGGCCTGTGTATTTCCGGCACGCTCGTAGTGCTCCTCGAGCATCGACAGCACGCGCAGCAGCGCCCATCGTGGAGGCAAGGGATCTGCCTTGAGGAGCGCATCGACCTGCCCAAGCAGACCGAGCGTCTCGGCGGAGACACCTCGCGGGTACGTCTTCGTGTCGATGGCGAGGGCGGACATGGCCTCGGGCAGCGCCGCCGCGCGCGGCTGCCGCGTCCCGCCGCCCTGCCGCGCGCGCTGCACGATCTGTCGCTCCTCGGCGCTGAGAGCGGTTGACATGGCGAGCGGGTAGTCTAGTCACCGACTCCGCAGCCACACCTCCGGATCCAATCGATGGCGATGATAATGCAGCGGGGTACCATGCGAGCCGCGGCACGAATGACGATGGCAAGGGCGCGACGCGGCGCGCGTCATCTTTGCAGCGCGGCGCTCAGCACCAAAACCACCACTGCAGCCACCGCAGAGAGCCGTGTGGACCTGCTCGCTCGCGCTGAAGCCTTGGGCATGCGCCTCACGCCAAAGGAGCGTGCGCACTTTGCGGCACTTGCCGAAGGCGAGAGCAAAATGTCGGCGCACGCGTACGACGAGTTTGTGCGCAAACGGCTGCTGCCGGCCAACGAGCAGCTGGCGCTTCACGAGATCCGAGAGAGCGTGCACGCCGACAGCCTTGGCAAGCGGATGATCGTGGCGGCCGACTTTCTTGGCACGTCGCTCTTTGCGGTGGTCGGCGCGGAGATGGCCGGCCAGGCCGGGATGAACGTCGTCGGCTGCACGCTCGTCGGCTGCATCGCCGCGATGGGCGGCGGCACGGTCAACAACCTCATCACCGGCGTGACGCCCGTCTTCTGGCTGCGCGACCCGCGCTTCCTGCTCGCGGCGGCCTCGTCCTCGATAGCAACCTTTACCTGTGGCACAGTACGAGTCGTGGGCGGCGATGCGCGAGGTGCAGCGGCGGCCCTTGCTCGCGTACAAGACGGGCGAGGAGCTCGAGCAGCGCGCCTGGTCGCGCGTAATGGCATCGAACGAGCTGTTCGTCCTCGAGTCGATTGCCCTCTCGGCGCTCGGCGTGATCGGTGCGCGGCATGGCATCTCGAGAGGGCTGCCGGCCCCGCGTGCGTGGCGCTCGGCGTCTCGATCTGCGCCGGCGGCGTGATGCGCGACGTCATCTGCCACCGCGACGTGGCGATCGGCTCACAGAGCTTTGCGCTCGCGACGGGCGCCGGCGCGTCCGTCTATGTGGCGCTGCGCAAGGCGGCGGAGCGCGGCTATGTGACCTACATATCAATGCGCATCTGCCTCGCTGCCGCGACAACGCTCGCGATGCGCGCCTACGCGTGGCACCGCAAGCAGACGACGGGCGAGCACGTCCTCGCGCCGTATGCGCACCGCCGCCGCGTGGAGTGAGGGCAGCGGCGGTCCTGACATCGTAGCGTCTTTCGTTAGCGTCCACCGCCTTTTCTTTGTTTGGCTAGCGCATATCACTCCGTCTCCAACGCACTCGCTCACTCAGTCACAAGTCACCGATCTCACTCTCGTCTTTCCTCCTCCGCCGCCGCCGCCCCGTCGCTCCCGCTCCCCCAACCACACTCGCATGAAGCCGTACATGAACGCCAACACAATCAATTGCCATACGTCACGGTCACGACTGTCGCGCCGCCGCCCGCCGCCGGTGCGATCTCATACGCGCCGCGGACGAGCGGCGCGTGCGCCACGGCAAAGCCGCTGCCAGGCCTGGCCCTTGCCGTCTTGGTCAGCTTGAGGCGGAACTTGTCGCACTCGGCCGCGGCGGCAAACGTGACGCTCAGGCTGCCGCCGCCGCTGTTGCTGAGCCGGTACCACTCGATGAGCGGGATCATGTTGAGGCCCGAGCGGTAATGCATCTGGCCGCGGTCGGCCACGCCCGTGCCAAACGTCGCGAGGTACTTGCCATTGTTGCCAATGTCGCCCCAGCTGCGCGCGCCGCCGTGATAGGCCCACGTGGGCGAGTTGCGCATGTAGGAGAGGACGTGATCGACCGTCTTCTTGGCGACGTCCTCGTTGCCAAAGTAGAGGTTCCACACGACGACCTCCTCCTGCCCCGTCGTGTCGAAGCCAAACTCCGAGCCGTAAGCCAGCTGGCAAATGCTTGCCTGCCTGGCGGCTTTACGGTCCCGCATGATGTCACAGGTTGTGAGCTGTTTGAGATCACAAAGGAAGCAGGTCTTCCTACTGAGCTCCAGCCTAGACATATCTTCGACTCGCTCGTTCCTGTTCACATCCTGCAGGATACTCGCAACAGCGGCGGCATCATTCCGGATGCAGCCATCACGGTCGCGCTCCCACCAGCCTCTCACGAGCCCAACCAGCCGCGAGTCGCCGCGCTGCCTGCACGCAAGCTGCTGGTTGACGTCAAGACCATCCAGCGAGGTGGGCATTGGTACACCGGCCGCCTCTACAACACGATGCAGTCGGGGGCGGTGATGAAGCGCGCCAAGAAGGTGAATGGTGACTACCTTGCCAAGGCGAGAGAACTCGACGCAAGTTACAGTGCAGCCGGCACGACGCCCATCGAGGACCGGCTCAAGTCACACTCTGACGTGCGGGGCTTGGCCTTTGGCGCGTACTCTGAGGCTTCCCGTGACGTGCACCTCATTCTTGGTGTGTGCGCAACAGAGATGGCCAAGAAGCACTGGCGGGAGATGGGCGCACGCACGATGGACGAGGCGCGTGCATACTACATCGGCGTCCTGCGCAGGCGGATGGGTCTCGTCGTGTCTGGGGCGATGGCGGCTCAGCGCCTGAGCAGAGTGCCATGGATCGGCGTCTCGCGCCACGTCGTGGTCAACCGCCGCACGCACGGAGCGAACGGGGGAGCCCGTGCGGACCGCGACGGGGTGGTCGACGCGCAGGACTTCTTCGCGTACCAACAGCGCCTGGTGGTGGCGGGCGTGGGCGCGTAGACAGGCATGCCCCTGCGGGGGGGGCATGGCTGAGGCGGAGAGGGGCGGGTGACGGCGGTAGGGCGACGAGGGCGAGGATGGCGGTGACAAGGGCGGTGAGAGGTGGTGTGAGTCGTGCGTGAGTCTCGTGCGTTCGTTGGGTCTGAGGTGTTGGGAAAGAAAAGTAGGAGGGGAGAGCTGGGTCGAACGTTTGCTGCTGCTGCATCCACAAATGTCTGTCGTCCGCGGCTGCTGGTTCGACGGCATCCTCGCGACGAGCGCGGCGGCGGCGCCGACCAGCTACTGCCCCGCCACCACCACCACCGCTTCTCCTCCGCGCGTCGCCTTTCTGGTCGGCGGCGTGGTGCGCGGCTTCGACCGCGAGCGCATGCGCAAATCCTTCTTGCATCACGTCGTCGAGCCGCTCGCGCCCGATGCCAAGAATCGCGCCTTCTTCTTTGCGCTCAAGCCCCTGAGGAAGACGGTGAAGATGGGAAGGAACGATTTTGCCGAGATCGACACGCAGATGGCCGATCTAAAGTCTGGCATGCAGACGCTCTTCCCGGGTGCCTCTCTGCACATTAGCTACCTCCCCGTGGATCGGGAGGTCCTCAAGAAGCCACCGGGTCCGCTGATTGCACCACCAGACATGACGCTGCACCCGTGCAACTGCTCGTGCTTCGACTTGGTGCGCGAATCCGTCGCCGGCTTCGTGTCGGCGATCCGCCGCTCCTACGTCATGATGGAGGAGCGCGAGAAGGCGCAAGGGTGGAAGTTCGACCTCGTCGTCTTCACGCGGCCCGATCTGCTCTTCTACAAGCCGCTCGCGCCGTGGTGCGACGTGCGCTGGAAGGGCGTCATGAGCGGGAACGAGTTCACGACCGTCGGGCAAGACTTTATGTACGTGCTGCCGCGGCGCGTCGCGACAGCGCTGGATTCGATCTTCATGGGCAACATTGCCACGCGCGCCGGCAGGAACCGCGACCGGGAGAAGCCGGCTTGCTTCTTCGCCGCGACGGAGACGCTGGGGCTCACGCTCTCGCAGCGGATGCTGCCGGGCATCTCGTTCAAAACGTCCGCGCCTGGTCAGGACGCGGCGCTGGTGCGCAAGTTTGAGGAGGGCGACCGCACTTGCCCAGTCCGCCCGACGCACAGCGCGCCGCACCAGGAAATGGTCGGGAGCAGTTCGTGGGATCGCGGGGCCACCCCTTCGGACGCCCAAGCGGCCAGGCGCTTCCGCGGCAAACCACATGGCCGCCACCTGCACCTCGTGACCGGGCATGGTGGAGGTCGCGCACGTAGGGAGCGCAGGCCTGCTTGAAGCGAATATACTAAAACTCACTCTTAAAAGCTGCGCCACCTAATGCCTACAGCACGACCACCACGACGGTGCCCTCGGGCGGATAGGTATTCGCAAAGAGGAGCCCCGCGGCCGCGCACGCACGACTACGCAGGAGAAACCCCTCCCGCCCGTGCTTGCGCAGCGCAGCCTCACGCGTCTATCGAGCGCGCGAGTCGGGCATGTGGGTGAAACACATGGTGTGCGCGGATACGTATCTTATTTCACCCGCTCGCGGAGATACATGCTTAGTAGCCTAAACCCGTCACATTCACACTAGTCTACACTCCTCTCAACTCTCCGCCTTTACCGTTCGACTCGTCCACCACACGCAAAGTCTCGCGCCGCCGTGACACCTGGTGGAGCGTGTCGTCCTCGACGGAGGCATGCGCCGCGCCCGTCATAAGCAGCAGCAGGCAAGCGGCAAAGATCATGGCGAGCAAAGCATTGCGCCGCGTCCAAAAGCGAGTTGGCGGCGCTTCTCTTTTATGACGCCCTTCGAGGCGCGCAACGGCAACTTCTATCGGCTCCACAACCACGTCGACAGGCGACGCAGTCGCGCTGCCTCTGAGCATGAAGCAGGGGCGCTGGCGGGAGTGCGTTTGCGGCGGCGCTCCGGGCCCGGCGAGAAAAAGAAGTACACCCTCAAAAAGAATTTTGAGGGCCCCAAGGTCTCTCACAGCACACTGGCACAACAAGGGCGCGGACTGGCGCGGACTGGCACACACACCGGCACACCACCGGAGCCGCCTAAAAGAAAAGATTTTTCCCCTCGCCCCTCGGGCTTGTCACACAGCACGCTCTGCGAGCGGGGCGGGGTGCGCACTGTGCCTCTGTGTTCGTGCGTCGCCCATCTCTCCTGGAGATGCCTGCTCTATTTATTAGCACGATTCACGCGACAGACAAGGCGCGGCTTCCTCAGAAGCGGGGCAGACGACGGGAAGCGGAGCAGACGCGCGGAGGGCGAGAGACGAGGGAAGGAGCAGGACTTTGCGGATCGAGATCAGCAGGAGGTGGGGAGGATGTACGAAGAAGAGATATAGGAGCAGCAGGGACCCGAGGGACCATTGGGACCATGAGTTCGGAAGACGGCTAGTTGCTAGTCCCCCATCGTGAGGACGACCCCGGCTAGTGCGCGCTAGTCGCCGACCCGACACCCACAACGAAGAACCGCACAGGCGGGGACCTGTTCCTTTTTACCCATCTCCCAGTAGAGGTGTCCGTTTTATTTACTCCGTGCCGTGGCCGCCCCCGTAGCTCGCGAAGCTGCGAACCGGGCTGCATGGCTGCGTCCACTGCGCCGCGCCGGCGCGCCGCGACCGTCGGCCCGCGGACTCGGTTTTCTTCGCGGCCTGCGCCGGAGAGTTGGCGGTCGTGCGCTGGGTGGTAATCGTAATCTGTCTGCTCTGCTGTGCTTCTCGCTCGTGCGTCCTGAAGTTGTGCTGACCTCCTTTCTCCTCCGGGTGATGCTCCGATAAACCCTCCGGATCTTCGACAAAAGTTGGATATTTCTTTTTTTAAAGTGCAAGGTGAGTAAGAGGTTTATGATAGGGCTACTACGACGAACTATGCGGCAATCGACTGGGGGGCAGCCCCCCAGCACATCCCGCATAGAGACCTCGTAGTAACCCTACTAGTACCGCCGATGCGATTGCTCAGTCAGTGACTGACAGTCCAGTCAGCAGCAGACTTTGACAATTGGTGGCCTCGCGCCCTCAGTCGCCCTCCTCTACTGACGGCCCTGCCCCAGCCCAGATGCCTCATCCAGGGTGGTGCAACCACTCGCGCAGGGAGAGAGAGACAGTCGGCGATCTGCGCCGCGCAGATGAGCTCCGCCTCGTCTGCGTCGAGGACGTCCACCGCAGGGCTATCATAGCGCCATATGACGCACTGCCTGTTGTTCATTACTTCGCAGGTGCCAACGTCGAGGACAATCTCACTGGTGGCGGCTGCACTCCCGGCCGGCGGTAGGAGAGATTAAGGCTAATGTACTTGGCAGTGTACGGGGCCTTCCGGCGTGAACAGTGCCCCGGGACGAAAGAGGAGGCGACGTCTCTCTCGTCCACGAGCGCCTCGATGTGCGCATCGACGGTGTAACCAGCTTTGAGAGACGGGAACGAACGGTGGTGAATCGCCGACAGGTGCGCCTTCGTTCCTACCACCACTCCCACCACCGCCAGCTCCGCCGTGGACCTTGCCGGGCCCTCTGATGATGTAGTACCGTGGAGCAGCTCGTCCGAGCCGTTGTTGTACTCTGCTGTGGCGCCAGCTCGGTGTACAATACGGACGAAGACGGCCACAGCAACGGTGTAACCAGCGCGAGCATACAGGCAGCGCGAACCGCTGTGCTCGGCGCGCCGGCCGCCGAAATCCGAGTTCTTTGGCATCCCGGAACCCCAAACCCTAAATTTTCAGTGTACGTACTTTTAGCTCTCTCTCGTACGTACTTTTAGCTTACTGGGAGAAAAGAGAGAGGGGGTTGTGTTCTCTCTCTCTCTCTCTCGTATGTAGCTCTTACGAACATACACACATACCCGTAGGTGAACTGCTGACAGGGTTTGCGATGAGGAGCGATCCGAACGTGGTATTCGGGTGATTATTTTCGCACATTTATCCGTCACTCCCCCGAAGATTGGAGGTGTTGATTTATGCACAAATCTATGTGTTGCGAGCGCTAGATGGCGAAATTTTCTTCGCCTCCGGGGCGGGGCCGCTCGCCGCGGGGCTAGAGAGGGACTTTTGTCGATGTCGGCTAGAAGTGCTGCACCTTTTTGAGAATTTCACCCCTCCTGCTCGTCTCCTATGCCACTTGTGTGTGCTGTGTGTTTGGGTTTCTAATTCTATTCGTATTTTGGATTTTCACGACTCTTTGTTTATTTATTTACCGGGGTTCGGTGCCGGGGCGGGGGGGGTGAGGGGACAGTGTCACGCAGGACAAGGGGGGCTGTTCCCGTTGCCTAGCGCGCCCACGGTCGTCAGCGTTGCCTAGCGGGCACACGCTGGACACGGATGCACGCGATGAGCCCAGAACTCGCGGCCGCTGCCTGGCGTAGAAGTGGTCTACTGACATCGGCGAGCGGGCATCGATGCCGCTCCACATGAGTCGCGAGAGCTCGCGCCGTGCCTCGGGCGTCAGCAGCGCACCTACCGTGGAGACCCGTGGGCTTCAGACGCCTTGTGCGGATGGGGTGGAGGGCTAAGCGTCCTCAACGCGCCGAGCAAGATGTAACTCGTATTGACCATCATACTGGCGGGAAGCGACGAGAGGGCGGCGGGCGGAAATCCCGAAGACGCGCCGAGTGCGAACATCGCGACGGCGGAAGCGAGGCGCATCGCGCCCTGGAAGGCGATTGCGGTCCGGGTCAAGCTCCAGAAGTGACGACAACGTAGCGCCCACGTCAGAGTGGCATGGGCCGTCGTGGCGGACAACAGGGTGACCATCGTCACGCGCCGCAGGAGGGTGATGGCGGGTATCTACGACGAGTACGGGGGTGGCTGTTCTGGGGGCGGGGGGGGAGGGCGTAGGGTTGGGGAGTGGCGGCAGCACACCTCGGTGGGGTAGTGATCCCACTTGCCATACACGTCGTACATGCCGACTGTCGCGAGCGTGAAGAAGAATGCATTTGCGTACCTGCGGCAGCAGGGCTGGCCAGTGATGGCAACGGTGAAGGAGCGCTGTGCACTGGTGACGCACTTGACGTCGCCCGTCAAGATTTCCTCGGGGTACATGGCGGCACCCAAGACCACAATGACGCTAGGCACCTGCGGGGCGGCGGCAGTTGGGACTGCGAACGAACGCAGTATTCGTGCATTGGCATACGGCGATTCAGATCAGTGCTCGTATTGAGCATCTGAGCGCCGCACAACAGCCAGGGTGAGGGCGGCGGTGCCCTCGACTTGCAAGCCCAGGCCGATCTATGAACAGGGCGCGGGTGAGAGGAGCGATAGCTGCGCGCCGTCATTCCTCGCTGCTGGGAGCACTCACCGCTTGGGATAAACATATGGAAAAGAGGGTCGGCGGCATGCGCGGTCGCCGCAGCAAGTACATCGAAAGGGGAGCCAAATTCTCTGCTGCCTTGCGGAGGCCATCGCCTGCCTGTGAGGCGGCGAGAAGAAGAGGCACGGCGCCGCCGACGGCCATCGCGGCGGTCTGCGAGCAAACGACGCGCGTGAACCAGCGGTTGTCGTGCGTCGCCAGCAAGACCATCGTGGCGGGGAGGAGGTTGATGCACTGCTGGACCACGTGGTTGATGAGCCTACGTGAGAAGGTGGTGCGTGGGTGACTGGCCCAAGAGGCGAGGCATCCGAGAAGGACGAGGCGTCACCTGCGCTTTGGCGTCAGCCGCAACGTGCTGCCGGGGGGCAGAGGGGGCGGCTGTGGGAAGGGGGGTGCGTTGGGGGCGGGAGGGTTGCAGGGGCATGAAATACTGGGGCCACGTTCAGCGCGCGGGATGTCGAGCGAGAGGCTGGCACCAACCTGAAGACGGCCCCGAGAAGCGTATAGTTGACGAAGATGTCGAGCCAAAAGTTGTCGATGGCAGCCATACGCTGCGCCCTGGAGCGCGCAGCAGACGTGGGTCAACCCGGGCAAGCGCTCGCAAGGGGAGAGAAGCCGGTCTGACACGCGCTACCGCCCCATCTATGGCGCGCCACCCGACTTCGCGCCACAGCCGCGTGCAGCCCGACTGCTCCCAATCTAGCTCCACCGCGGCTCCCCCACGGGCACGGCCAGGGTCGGGCGAATCGAGGCAGAGAGAAGAGAGGCTCAGGATGGAGGCGAGCGGTGGCAGCAGCGCGAGAAAGCAGAGGATGCGGCAGTCTGCCAGCCGAAGCGACTCGGGTAGTGCCCAGTGATCGCCTGCGAGGGAGCGGGGCGCGCCACGAGTGGCGAGGGCGGCAGCAGATGAAGAGGAGGAGGTTGGCGGAGGGAGGGGGGAGCGCGCCGTTCCTCCATGGCCAGCAGCTTGCGGGGAAGCAGCCGTAGAGCGCGAGCGCTGTCACCACCGCCTGGACGATGCCCGTCCGCGCAGCGGAGGAGAAACCGACACGGCTCGAGTAGAGGGTGTACCGCACAGCGCCAGTCAAGAGACAGAGCACCGCCAACCGGTATAGCTGCTGAGAGCCCCTGTACCCCCGCCAAGTCGGCGATGCAGGCTTGAGCGCCGGCGGCAACTCGGGTGGCGAGGGCGGTAGGCTCTCCAGACCGGTCGGGGGCGGCTCCACCTTTGCTCTGGGAAACCCTTTGCTCAGCACCTCGGCAGCAAGCGCGTCATCAGCGCAATCTGCCGGGGCCTCGCCACTGTGCTCGCTGCCGGTGTTGCCGCCGGTGCCTCGCCCCCAGCCTTCGGGCGCGTGCGGCGCGTACGCCCGCGCGCGCTTGTTGGTTGGCTCCCCCCAAGCATGCTCTGCATCATTCGGCACCGCATGCGCGGCCGCCGCCGAGAGGGCCTCGCACTGCCGAGCCCAGCGCTGCTGGACCACTGCAGAGGGAGGGTCATGATCTAGGCGTGGCGCGGCGTGCTTCGCGGCGAGGGGGGCGCCGTGCAGTTGCATGTGGTGCGGCACGTGCTGCAGCATGGATCGGACCGCGGGCTCCCCGTACGCGGCGGCCGAGGGGGGCGAAGACAGGACGGCGTGGCCAAACGGTAGCTGCGCGTGCGCCGTCGAGGCAGCAGGGGCTGCATACATGACCGTGGTCGGAGGGAGGGGCAACGCTGGGGCAGCACCGACATGGGAAGCGCTCGTGCCTCCGGCGTAGCCGTACAACGGCTGCTGAGGGATAGAGCAGTAGCCGTCCATACGGTGAGGCACGTACGGCACGAGTTGCGGGTTGCCGAACCGGTGCATCTGCGGCATGCACATCCCATGCGACGACATTGGAATCCCCGCGACGACGTGCATCGGGGTTGGCCGCCGCGGCGGCATGGCCAGAGCCAAGGTGGCCACATGCCCCGCCGCCCCCCCGCTGGCCCCTGCCCCCACTAAGGATATTGTGGGCAGCTGCTGTGGCGGCTGCGCCGGCGGCAGCTGCTGTGGCGGCTGCGCTGGCAGCGGCGGCTGCGCCGGAAGGGACGGCGGCTGCGCCGGGAGCGGCGGCTGCGACGGCGGCTGCGACGGCGGCTGCGACAGTGGCCGTGTTGGCGAGGGCTGTGTGCCCGCACCATCCTCCTCGCCGTTGGGGCGGCGGCGGAAGGTTCGCTCGCCAGACAGGTCGGCGAGCCCAGCCGGAACCAGCGTCGAGTGGAGTATCCAGAAGCGGACGAGGGGCTCGCCGGTAGTGGGGCACATGACGGGCCAGTCCTCCGGCGGGGGCGACCAGTTCATCGCCGGCTGGGGCGTGAATGCTGAGGAGAGGACGAGGAGGTTGGGACCCTGGCAGCGCTTGGTCTGGTTTATGACGCGGTAAGGAGGGAGCCGCTGGTCATCCGCGAGGGCGCGGGTACCCTTCTGGTTCTTTCGCCAGGTGCTCCAGACCCCGTTGCTCGCGGTGTTTTGCACCCCGTCCGGGGGCAGCACGTAGACCCGATTAGCCGGGATATAGACTCCTCGCCTGTGGCAAGCACCACAAAATCGGGCGTAGAAGGGGGTCTGATGCTGCGGATCGTCGGGGCGACGCGGCTGGCAGGAGCGCCCGGAGAGGAGGCTGCCCCAGCAGTCCTCGTTGCTATGCGCTGGCAGGCACTTGGCACCCTCCTCATGTGCGCGCGGATAGACGCCCGCGTGGATGCGCTCGCCGTCGTTAGTCGGGTAAGCGCTCACAGTCTCAGCCATCTTGCGTCCGCCGTCGTCCCTGGCCAGGTCTGCCGCGGATCCCGGCGTGTCGCCCATGGCCGAGATAATCTCGATAGCGTGGCAGGCTTGTGTCGGGGGGAGGGGGGGAGGGGAGGGGAGCGCAGGCCGCAAACTGCGGGCACTGGCAGCCCGACACACCCACTGTAGACTTTTATGTCGGCCTTGTGCATTCAAGATGTGACAAAACTTGCCCAAATCGCTTGCACGCATTCTCCCACATACTGACCTCGGCGAATCTCCCTTCCGATAAATATGCGGTTGCGACCGTTTTCTAGGGGCCTGGAGAACCGAACCCCCGAACCCCCCCCCGCTCTCCCTTGTAAGCTAAAAGTACGTACATAGAAGGAAGAAATGCCTGCCTCCCCCCCCCCCCCCTCCCCCCCCCCCCCGGGCTGCGTTTGCTGCGATACGAGAGTCCCCACGAGTGCATGAAGTGCGTTCAATGCGTGCTGTTCACGCAGTGTGGCAGGGGGGGGTAATGATCGCCCAAAGACAAGAGAAACAGCCGTCGGGGGGAATAGCGGACCGGACGCACGATGAGGAGGTCGGCCCCCTAGTCGAAAACAAAAACAATAAATAAATAAATAAAAACGGAACCTCTACTGTGAGATGGGTAAAAAGGAACAGATCCCCGCCCGTGCGATCTATTCTTTGTGCAGGGTTCTTGGTTCAGGGTGTGTGGTCGGCGACTAGCCGGGGTCGTCCTCCCGATGGGGGACTAGCACTAGCCGTCTCCCACATGGTCCCTCGGGTCCCTGCTGCTCCTAATCTCTTCGTACATCCTCCTGCTGATCTCCGCAAAGGCCGTCTTGCTCTCCCTCCCTCGCGTCCCTCGCCCTGGCCCGCCACCTGCGCGTCTGCTCCGCATACCGCGCAAAACAAAAACAAGCGCTCGTGTCAAAATAGAGTAACAACGGCAAAATCAGCCTGCGAGAGAGCGGCACTGCCACTGGCGCGGCGCCGCCTGACCTCGTGCGGGGATGTGTATTAATTTATTTGTACCAACACCAATCTCCAATCGACGCTCTAAGCGCCATACCGAAGCTGTCCCTTCCTTTGCGCTCAGGAAGCTGTCCGCTTCCTGGAGAGCGCCACCAGAAGGAGGCCGAGCCTGCCCCGCTCACGCGCCGCGGATGCCGCTGCCCAGCCAGTCCGCCTTGCTCGCGGCCGCCTGCTCCGCCTCGGAGCGCTTCGCGCCGGTCTGCTCGACCGGCAGCCCGATCAGACGCAGCCGCGCGATGACCGTCTCCTCCTCGTTGCCCATGTTGCCGGGCACGAAAATGGTGAGCTCGCGCACCGTCTGAGCGGCAAGTCCAGGGAGGGTTGCGCGCCTCCACACGACACTCGGGAGTGGACCAGCGGCGAGAGGCAGTCTGGGCCAGGGGCGTGGGGTGTGGGGAGAGCCTCCTGTCGCTGCGAGTGTGGGCGACGCCCGCGGAGCTGACAGGGCGCCGCTCTGAGATCGCAGCTCTCGTGCTGTGGGACCGTACGATAGGGCGCCGCAATGCTCGCTGCGGCGCCCTGGTATATTGCGGTCCGTCGCTCCGTGCGTCGCGAGCGGCGGTCAGTGGAAGGCGGGTGATCCAACCTGAAAGTGGACAAAGCGGAGCTCGACGGGCCGCCCTTCGCGCGCGACGTCCGCCGGCGTGAGGGGCAGCGTCTGGGTCGGCGCGTTTGACCTGCCGCTGTCAAAGTCGAGCGGCGCCTGCCGGCACGGCGTGGGCAGCCGCTGGCATGAGGGTGGCACGCAGCGGCAGACCGGCCCGCAGCACTCGGGCTTCGGTACGGTGTCGTGATAGGAGGGGAGTCGCTCACAGGCGGGTTGGCAAAGATGCGCAGCTCGGAGGGCGCGCTCGCGGCGGGTCCGGCGACGACGATGGCCGAGAGCCGCACCGCCTGAGGTGCGGGAGAGCGGGTCAGCATATGTAGGGTGAAGCGACGAGGAGGCCGCCTCGGCGCACGCCTGCATGAATCTGAGCGAGATTAGCAGCTCCTCGTCCGCGTCGCTCTGCAGGAATCCCTCGTCGGAAGGTGTGAGAGCAGACCGAAGCGTGTGATCCTTTGCGGCGTTTAGGCACTCGCACTGAGGCAGCCTGGCGCCAGCAGAGGAGGGTCAGAGTGTCAGCACGGTGGGCGGCAGGGCGGCGCGCGCACTCGAGCTGCTCGAAGAGTGGGCGGCAGGGCGGCGCGCGCACTCGAGCTGCTCGAAGAGTGGGCGGCAGGGCGGCGCGCGCACTCGAGCTGTTCGAAGAGGTCGTAGTGAGATTGTTGGGCCGCCATTTTTGGTATGGGTGCCGCTCTACAGCCTATCCTACTCTGCGCCCCCCCCCGCACGCTTGAGCTTTTTTTCGCCTCGGCCGGTACTCGAGTATGTCTTCGGTCCCCGCGGGAAGCCCCGCGCATAGGACAACAACGTCTGTCCCTCACACGCACAGACGCGCACATACATCAGTTTTCTCCCAGTAAGCTAAAAGTACGTACATCATGCTCGGGCGCTTCCCACAGTGTGTGTAGTTAGTTAGTGGTGAGTGAGAGAGAGAGAGAGATTTAGTGGTGTGAGCACACAAGTATACTAGCGGAGTGCACACCTGCCTTGGTTGGCGGGTGAGGGTCGTAAGAGTCAAAGCCTCTTGGTGCCAAACGTCGAGGAAACGTGCTCAAGCGCGCCGAAGAGAGACGATCTACGCTCGAGGGAGTTAGCGAAAGTCGCACGGGCAGAGAGGAGACCGAGGCCTCCGGCAGTCCGCACCGCCTCGCGAAAGGGAAGCAACGATCAACTCCAGCTTGGACTTGAGTGCGCCGAGCGCCGGCGCGTGATACGCGTTCGCTCCTAGCTTGCAGAAGGCAGAGTCGGAGCTTGGAGTGAACCTTGCACATCCTGCGGCGACAACGCAGTCGAGTCGAGTCAGTGGTGCATTGTGGAGCGTCGACGAGGCGGCGCGGTGCGGGGCCCGCGAGCTGCGGGCAGCCGGGGGGGAGTGTTTCGTGGCGGCACGGCCCGGAGCGCGCGGCTCAGAGCGCCCCGGAGAGGCGCGCGGCTCGCATGCAGCAGTGCGGGAGGCGGCCCGGATAAACCTGCGGCAGGCGCTGGCGAGTAGAGGCCCCGCCCACCCAGGGTACCCTCTCCGAGGACCCATTGGGTTGCTCTTTCGAGGGCTCGCCGGGGCTCTGCTCCAAGAGACCTCGAGAGAGCGTGCGTGTGCCTCTACTCGCCAGCGGCAGGCGAGAGGTTGGTCCTAAAAAAAGAAATCAACGGTGGAGTGTGGGATTGCGTGCAATCGGACTGCAATCACTGATTGCTCCCGAGCTGAGACCTGATTAAATTTGGATTGCGATTTGCAAATTGCAATTCCACTGGATTGCAATCGGATTGACTCTTGGGGTTGCCCCCGCCGCGACTTTTTTTCCCGCCCGCCCGAAGAAGAAATGCAGCCCTGGAATTGGCGGCCGAAAAAGAAATCCATACTGGTACTCCCCGGGGGTCCCCTACCCCCAGGGGACCCCGCACTGCTGTGAACAGGGGACGAACCCATACTAGGGACCCGTAGCATATTGCCCTCCCCTCCTCGACGCCACCCGGGTCCTGGCAGGCACGATGCACAGTATCTAAAGCACGGACCCGCCGAGGCTCATGGCAGTCGCTGGCGAGAAGGGAAGGATGGATTAGGATCGCGTGGCGTAGGTGGGCGCTCTGGGCCGGCGCGGGGCCCCCCGGAGGCACCGTGCGCCGCGCCGCAGTGCGGAAACGGGGCTCCGGCTCTACTAGTCTCTACTAGCACCAACTTCCCGATTAAGTACGGTTAAGTAGAGGGCAGATTTGGAAAGATCTCGAGGAGTACATACAGATAGACCCTCCAACCATCAGAAAACTCCGACCTGATCGGTCGTACTGACCGCCGACAGATCACTCCAGACAGCAGACAGGCCGACGTCTGCACGCGGCCGGCCGGGCGAGAGGCTTGACACGATCCGACCCTGCGACCCTGACGCTGCTGCTCTAGCTATCAGCCATGCACTGCTGACTGCTGCCACAATGTGCGACCTGTGCTGGCCCACTTGGCGGCCTTCCCGGTCAGTGGTGAGGCGCAGTTCAGAGCTGTCGATGTCGCGATGCCGCACTGGTCCCACATTGGTGACACGATACCACCAAGTTTGCCGGTCCAAGAGAGAGGCACCGGCGCTGTCCTGAGAAGGTGCGTGGTCCCTCTTGACTGCCCATGCGCGCGAGGCTGTGTAGGCATAGCCTCGAGAGTGCCAGCAGCCAATCCGAGGTGACGCGCATTGCGCCAGAAGCGTGCACACGATGGAAGGACACCTTCCTACTGGCCGTACGATCAGGTCGTCACTGAATGCTTGATACTAAGGCCGCGAGCTATGCAGGTGATCAATTGTGCATCATGGCACGGTCAGCTGCGCCGACAGGCTGTCGCAAGGCGTGATAGCATGGCCGCAAGTACGCCGAATTCCCATGAAAACAAGTAAAAAAAGCCAAAAAAGAAAAACAATCCGCAAAAATCGGGGCCTGCGGCGGGCCATGGGACCCCATCTCCCCCCCGCATGGACACCCTCTGGGGCCCCCGCGCCGGCCCAGAGGGTGGGCGGTGGTGAGACTGTGTGTGAGACTGTGCCGTGGGGGTGATACACGGGGACGTGACTCTGGTAAGAGGTAAGAGGTAAGGGGTAAGGTAAGGTAACTTCTCCACACACAAACGGTGTACGGCAGAGCGTGTCCATCTCAATATGCATCTATGCGACTTTGGAGAGTACCTTTTTTTCCCGGGGGGGGGGGGGGGGCAGTGGTCAGAACACCTGATCTTAACTCGCAAGAGTATCTCGTGAATCTCCATCTCGACTCGTCACACCGGGAGTCGGAAACAGAGAGACGCACAGAGCGAGCGCCGGCGCGGGCACCCTGGCCCGCAGCCGCAGCCCGCACAGCCGCTCCGTCACGCTCGCGGCGCTCCTTCACATCCATACCTTCACTCCTCGAGTGCCTTTGCGAGGAAGGCTAGCTCGGCGATCGCCGCCGTCAGCCT